TCTCCCTATTTTAAGTCCGTTCAAGCATCCATGACATGGGTTCACCACCACATATATGCTTCTGGATTGTCCATTGACAGATGTTGGATGGCTAATAGTTACTTGATTCTAGTGTATTTGGCCTTTCTGAGTTCAAGGTCACGGATTCACCTTTCAGTTTCATTTATCAAATGGTTGCTTCAATTAATTTTATGGCATCTTGCCCAACTTTGTTGTTTATCATTATGTAAGCTAGTTTTTGTATATTGTTTTTTCTATGATTCTGCCTTTTTCTATGATTGTACTTTATGACCATCCCCGAGGGCATGATCCACCTATTCTCACTTGGTTCAAGCATCCATGTCCTGGGTACACCACCACCTATATGCTCCTGCCTTGTCCATTGAGGGGCGTTCGGTGGCTAAAGGTGACCGAGTTTATGGGCGTTTGGTCCTTCCAAGTCCAAGGTCATGGATTTAGTTTTCGGCTTCCATTTATCCATTGATTGTGGTTTTCTATCAACCGTTTTGACATTCAATTCTTTCAATTTTTCTATAGATGGTAGTTTATCTTCCATTTTTATGGTAAAGTGTAAAGTAGGCTAGCATGTTGTGGTTTTTTTTTTTTTTTTTTTGCAATGTTTAACATCTTGAAGGCAAGATCATCCTCTACTCGGTCAGTTTATGCATCCATGTCACGCCTATATTTTCTTTGCTTGCCATTAAGGGGCGTTGGGTGGCTAAAGGTCACTAGGGGTTTTTTGGTCTTTCTGAGTTCACGGTCATGATTTACCTTTCAAGTTCCATTTATCATTGATTGTCGTTTTTTTAATGGTTTTGAGAATTTATTGATTTAATTTTTCTGTGGATCAGTATCATTTAGTTTTGTGGTTTATCGTAAAGTAAGCTATCATTTTGTATATTGTGTGGGTTGTTTTTACATATCACCACCTAAATGCTCCTACCTTGTCCATTGCGGGTACGAATGACAGTTTCTTTTAGTTTTGTTTCAATTTGTCTATGAATGATAGTTTCTTTTAGTTTTGCGGCGTCTCCCATTTTTATGGTTTAGTTTAAAGTAGGCTAGCATTTTGTGGATTGTTTTTTTGTGCTTTGTTTCGTTTACCAACTTGAGGGTAAGATCCCCCTATTTTAAGTCCGTTCAAGCATCCATGATATGGGTGCACCACCACCTATATGCTTTAGATTAAACGTTGGATAGCTAATGGTTACTTGGTTCTAGGGTGTTTGGCCTTTCTGAGTTCAAGGTCAGGGATTTACCTTTCAAGTTCCATTTATCCATTGATTGTCGTTTTCTTCTAATGGTTTTGAGATTTGATTGTCTAATTATGGTTGCTTCAATTAGTTTTGTGGCGTCTTGTCCAACTTTGTTGTTTATCGTTATGTAAGCTAGCTTTTGTGTATTGTTTTTCTATGATTTAACTTTATAACCATCCCCGAGGGCATGATCCACCTATCCTCACTTGGTTCAAGCATCCATGTCTTGGATACACCACCACCTATATGCTCCTGCCTTGTCCATTGAGGGGCGTTTGGTGGCTAATGGTGACCGAGTTTATGGGCGTTTGGTTCTCCCGAGTCTAAGGTCATGGATTTAGTTTTCGGCTTCCATTTATCCATTGATTGTGGTTTTCTATCAACCATTTTGACATTCAATTGTTTCAATTTTTCTGAGTTCAAGGTCATGATTTACCTTTTCAAGTTCTATTTATCCATTGATAGTCGTTCTTTTAATGGTTTTGAGAATTTATTGATTTACTTTTTCTATGGATTGTAGTATCATTTAGTTTTGTGGTGTCTTGCTCATTTTTGTTGTTTATCATTATGTAGATTTTGTGTATTGTTTTTCTATGATGTTACCTTTTTACCATCTCAAGGGAATGATCTGTCTATCCTCACTTGGTTCAAGCATCCATATCACTGGTACATCTCCACCTAAATGCACCTACCTTGTCCATCGAGGGGAGTTAGGTGGCCAAAGGTTACTGAGTTCATGGGCATTTCTTCCGTCCTAGTTTTTTATAAAGATAATAACTAAGTATTCTGTTAAAACTCAATGATTATCCTAATTATATTTTTAGATTTTTTATATTTAAAATGAGATGTTTATCCAATATTTGATTATTTTTATCTGCAGTTAGTTATACGAATTCAAACACGGAGCTTTAATAACTTGCAATTATGCACAATTTACTTGTAATCTTAAATTTTAAGTAGTATTTCATGTATAAAAAATGGTTTTTTAAGAGTTTTTGTCAAATGTTTTATAATATAATATAGATTAAATTATTCAGGTTATATTAATTAAATAATTTGCTTTTAATGTGATTAATATATTAATTTCTTTTAAGGTGCTATTTAATTAATTGGGTTAAAGAGGTGACTTTTAATTGTTAATGTGGTTCCAAATAATTTATTTGGATATTGAAACGTCGGGGCTTTTAATAATTAGAAGCTAATTAGCAAATAAAAATTGGATTATTTAATTATTAAAAGTTAGTTAGACGTTGGGAATAAAAACAGAGTATTGTTAAGGACTGATCGAGGTTGATCAGTAGTCAACATTTAGATTGACTTTTGGGAGAAAAATAAGACGTTGATGGCAAACTATTGTATCTATAATTGTAGGTTACCACTTAGAGCGAAGCTTTAGCAAACCTACACTATTAGGTGAGTCTTTCACGAGATGTCACTGTGGTGTATTCTTTTATACATTTTTTTATTAACATGGATATCCAACACACTATGCGAGCTGACTAATCCCAGGACGACCACCTGCTTTGCGGGTATGAGGGTAAATAATAAAAACATTTCTTTTACATACATGGTGTGCGAAGTTGTATGTATACTTGATATAGTGTTTAATTGCATGTCATCATTAGTTTGTGATTACATGAATATGATGTTTTAATTTATGGTACAAGCATGCTAAATGTTTTACGGTTATTAACCATAAATATCATGCATATGGTTTGAGGATGGAGTAACATGTGCTTATGATACATTAACCGGGGTATAAGATATCAGCTCAATGTGACGCATTTAGGGGAGTCACGACCAGGAATGGTCGGTTAGTTCTTTGTGGACCTACACATCCAGGGAATACTGTGACATAGCAGGTCCCTTACCTCTAACGGAGTGTAGTTAAGAGATCTCATTGGGGTTGTATGTTTTAGTAAAATTGCATGTCACTCTTTCATTGGCATTTATATGGTTAAATATATGTGTTTCTAATGGTTGCACATAAACCGTGAATTCACCAGGGTGTTTAGCTGACCATAATATACATCTTAGGAGTAAGAGGTTCGAGAATTGATAAAGGCAAAGGCCATGCTTAGGTTTTATCTTCTTTTATTTTAGTTGATACAATCGTTTTAATTATTTTGAAGCATAGTTGGATTTAGATTTTAGTGACCAGTATGGGACGGGTTAACGTTTAAGATACTTTATTTACGAAGTTTTAGTCTTCCGTTGTAAATGATTTTTCTATGGTTGTTATATTCTTGGAGTTATTAATGATGATCTTTTGGATGATGTAACATTTCATTTGGTAAATGGAAAAAAAGGGGTGTTACATTTGGAGTTTACAGTGAGTTCAAGTTGTTTTATGAAAACTTTGTACCTACCAAAAATGTCGATTTTGGAGCCTTAAAAAGTTTTATTGCATTTATCAAATGCGTTGTTTATTTGAAGAGATTTATCTTGGGTACATTTGATTTATAAGTCTTATGAAATGTCCATTATTAGAATTTTTGGACATTTTGATAAATAATTAGAAAAGTGTGTCATTTTGATGATTTATTGCATAAATGAAGATTATTTGACCTTAATGTACTTTTAATGCATTTGGTTTTGTAAGCCATTTAGAAAATGCACACTATTGTATTAAAAGCCTTTTGGAGATACAAAAGCATGATTTTCTTTGGAAAATGATTTGTTTCAACTAGTGATGGATTTTCGAGTTAATCATATTTTTGGATCATGCGTTTGGATAAACGTTGATTAAATGCGTTTTTATTGCTTATGTTAACTTTTATCGAGCAGTCAAATTAGTAATGAGTATAGTGGGTTGACTGTGGCTCATTTGAGTTTTGGGGACATTTGTCCTGTTTAATTTACTCTATGTCGATAATTAAATCGCTTTTAATCTTAAACCAACTCATAAATTACGTTTTAGAAGGGTTTGATCTAGTGCATCTCATCGGTATTAATTTAATGGAACTCTTCAATTAGTATTGATCTAAGGGTGAAAATCTCTTCTTACCCTTCTTATTATAACTTTCATTTTCGACGGAACCCAGCTCAATTGTATTCTATATTTGTATTTAATGTTTTCATAATCTTTTTGTGTTTGAGCGGGTGTTATTCACTTAGGGGCCGTTTATCAAATGCTTACCCGAGTAAGCACTTAGCAAGTCACATTACCTTATCAGATGAATATGACAAGGACCAAGAATCTTACCCGGTAAGAACGAGACAAGGACCAAGAATCTTACCCGGTAAGAACGAGACAAGGACCAAGAGTTTTACCCGGTAAGTGAAGGCAGCGACTCTTACCACGATAAGAGCTTGTCAGGTAAATTGTTGTATACGGTACCATTTTGGTGGACTAAAATCTTACTCGGTAAATAAGTAATAATATTGAATTTTACCAATAAGTATTTACTGATTTAGTTTTTGGTAAACAACCTCTTAGTTGCTTAACATCTCATTTGCATTTGTTATTGATCCTACATTTTTATCTGCCTTATTTGTTGGTAAATGTCACATCTTTGTTTTTGGATTATTTGGCTACAGTTAAAAGCGTATGTTATACCAAAGACCAACGGTATCCGTAGTCCAACCTTCCAGAAAATCAAAAGGCTTCAAATATTACCAAAAATTAAAAATTAGGAGTGTGTCGGACTGTTTTATCGTATATAAATATTATATAATTCAAAAAACATGCTACTTTATGTTACCATAGTTGAAGGAAGTAAATTTCACAAGTACATTTAACCCATATACATATATATATTCTACAAAAACCTCAATAACTAGTTAGTTAAACGTTAATCTTTCTAAAGCCTCTTCCAATGAATCGATATTACTCGTTGAACTGTAAGAAAACCGTCTTTTATCTAGGCTCCTAACTGTCGAAGGCCAACGATTCATCGCTGTGCCTGCTGCTACCATGGAAGACGATGAATAGCCGTGCAATGTTGGCCTTTGAGCATGAAGACTAGCGGCAAAACCAGCCTCGGCTGCAGCACGTTTCTTGGTGGCATCGTCTACATATAGCAGATCATCGATCCTCGCCATTAAGTTGAACGCTAAACTTTCAATCACCCTAGAGTAGCTCTCTAGAATAGCTTGTCCTACATCCTAATCAAGAAACAAGAAAGTTGGAACTTTTTTTATTGTAATCGGTAAATTTTTCCAGTTTATTACAACATTTTGACATATTTTGGCATCTTATAAAACCGTTTTGTTGTAGTGTAGAGAAGGATTGAAAGCCGAAGAACATACCTTGTTAGACTGAATCTTATCAAGATCCAGCGTGGTTCGTGGAAGGCCAGGGAATTGGTGTTTTAAGTTCTTCAAAAGGGTGTTGGCTCTGCCCGACAGAAGTGTACTTTTTTCTTTTTCGCTACCATTGCCGCTCCATAATAGCTTTCTGGTTCCATGAGGCTTTGAGGATTTCTGTGTCCAAATATGCATGGCTGCTTCGATCCTGTTTGCGATCTGAAGAGTGGTGCATTCCGACGACATCTCCAGGTAATCTAGAAGGGATTCGGGTGAGAACTGTGCAGTCGTTATATAGTGATGGAGGGTTTCGCCTAAACACGCTTTAGCACTCTGAAATAATCCATAGACAATGGATTAAAAAAGTTGATTAGAGATCTTGAATAAGATTTGTGAGAATAGGTGGAATCCCATGAGATTATCCTCCAAAAGAGTCTTTGACGGGATAAAGTAGGTTCCAACATAAATGGAGGAGACCTGGTCTAAGCCTAGCCACATTGGACTCAAACACGCCCCCTCCAATAGAGGCTAGACAGGCCCAGATTGTTCCAAAGTGTGGAGCAGAGGCTAGACGGGTATATATTGCCTAGAGAGTCCTAAAATGGCCGATTTTGACTCTGATACCATGTGAAAATACGTGGAACCCCGTTAGATTGCTCTAAGGGGGTTCCAATGGTGAAATAGTACAAGTCTAGGCGATGTGGGGCTCCAACAAGATTAAACCGAAAATCTAGGTTTTCAAGATCTTTATACCTTAGGTAAGCTCTCCAAATAAGCTTTAGGAACTTCCATCTGGGACAACACATGGCCATTGATGGAAGCAGCAGCTTTGAATATTTGATTGCCGCAATCCCTGCATTGTTGCAATCTCCTAACGGTAGTTTCGGCCAGTCCCTTAGCCGGAACCTTTGGGAATGGCAGCCACCATTTCTCTTCATACTGAATCAAAGGGCTATCGGATACTCTTTCAACGTTTCTATCACGATCAGAAGCAACCAACCCGCGATCAACGTAACAAAACTCTGACTCATGGAAACCATCCAGCATGCTTACTAGCATCGCGTCTAGCTTTCTGAGTGGCGGAAGATTTACATACAAATCGGACCTGGGTCGGGTTACCATAACCTCAAAGGTTCCGCCATTCGGGAATTCTTGAAATGATGGAGTAAGCTCAACAATGGAATCACTTACTGATAGAACCCATTCCATCTCTTTTCTCCACATTGACTTGCTCTCTGGACTCAGGGGTTCCAATTTCCACAGGTCTCCAAATACAGTAGCTGGAAATGATCATCAAGCAGATGCATTACATTTTTTTCGATCGAAAACTAAGAAATCAATGGAATTGATGAGTTAGAAAAATTGGCAAACCAGAAAGACGTGTGATTGTATTGGAGATGGCAAGAGCAGTACAAACACCATTTCCTCTTCCAGACATATCTTCTCCAAGCAACAGCTTAGAAAATCGATCTTTCATCAATTGAGCCTCTGCAGATAACTGAAGAATTAGAAACAACTAAAAAAACCCTGCAGAAAAAATCGAACTTTTTCCATCTTTAGGTCATCATCAAGCTAAACAGGAAATCTTTATAGCAATTAATACTACTTCCCTACTTTTGAGGTCACATCAATAATTGTCAATTTTCGATTTGATTCAAGGGAATGTTTGGGAACTTCAATTGGAGGAAGATCGATTCAGAAATCTGAACAAAATAAGCTCCAAATCTCACAATTGCTAGTCCCACAAGTTTGTAAATCGTAACAAAATGCATATTTGTTAACATTGCAATTGTGAATTTGTTTTACTGAGCAGAGGAATTTTTCATATACATTACCGGTAAGGTTTTCGGTCTGAGCTTTCCCGGTGTAGTTTCCACCAGCGAGGGGCGGCGGTTTGATCGGAGAAGGAACCGGCAAGTAGGAATTGAAGTGAGGTCCTACCAATGGCGGAGTACTGCGAGAAGTAGAAGCGACCGGAGAATCAAAAGAGGAAGCCCCACAACTCTCGGATTCGCTAACGTCGGCACTAAGACTATAATCCTCAAACCTGTGACTCTGGTGATCAGATTCATCATCCGATGATAAAATTTCCATTGAAGCAATGATTTGTTAATCGGAATGTGGTGAATTTGCAGAGGGTTGATATGATTGGGGGGGTGCAGAGTGTGATCGGAGAAGAGTGAAAAAGAAAGGTAGAAAAAGCGTTAAAGGGATTAAAGGTGGGTTCTTTACAGTTATGTGTGTATCGTAACGTCAACATGGATGGAGGTGGTGGCCCCATCTTGCCTGCCGGGGACATAAATTTGTGCTTTTGTTTCTTTCTTCAATGGCGACGGTGGTGACACCTCTCTCCACCACTCCCTTTCTGTTTACATGTCAAATTATCAGTTTCACATGTTTTTTTTCTTCAAAATATATGAGTAAACTGTACTCAAAATTATTCCTTCCAACCATCCCAAATAACACTTGTTAAATGTGATATTTTAAACCGGATCCCTTAAATTTACATGTGTTTAGGATATTTTTATCGATCTGTAAAAATATAACCGGAATTATTTATTCTTCATACCAATGACAATTAAATGTATAAGATAGAAAACTAATATTTTATGAAAAATATTGAGTATTTTAATAATATAATTAATATTGTAATCTAATATAATATCTTTTGAGAGATTTTGACTTTTAATTCTTCATTTTGAAGAATCTCTTGAACTCGTATACGGACAACATTATTTGCTTGATTTAAAAACTTAGGGTTAATTGGTTGGTTTTTCTTTAACTCCTATATGGACAACATTATTTGTGCAGATTAATTTGTCTGTATAAATTGAGAATGTTTCTGTTTTATAAGATCTTCATAGATGGAAGAAACGTGTTTTTTTTTAATTGGAATGACATGTTTGAAAAAAATCATCTTTTCGTATAAAACTCTCGGTTCAAAGCTTATCGAATAAATCAATTTCTATATCATAAAATCACTAATAAACACTTATGTATAACTAATCGAATAAGCTTTGTCTTCCATTAAACTACTAATAAACATACTTTTAAATGTATTTACAAATATTTTGACTAAGGAGCCGTTTACCAAACGCTTACTCGGGTAAGCGTTTACCAAGTCACATTACCTCACCGGATGAATATGGTAAGGACCAAGAACCTTACCCGGTAAGAGCGAGAAAGAACCAAGAGTCTTACCCGGTAAGTGAGGGCGACGAGTCTTACCACGGTAAGCACTTACCGGGTAACTTGTTGCATACGATATCGTTTTGGTGGACTAAAAATCTTACCCGGTAAATAAATAATAGTGTTGAATTTTATCGGTAAACACTTACCGGATAAATGTTTGGTAAACGACCCCTAAATAAATTATATGTTATTGTATTTGTATAGTTTTTTTAACTATATATTAAAACAACAATTAATATCTATCAGTTACATAAAAATATCGTTTAACAGTTATATAAATCACATTGTTTTGTATAAGTTCTGATTAGGCTTTAACAAAATTAATTTTGAGATGATCTACGTAGCTACATGATTTAAATAAATTGTTTTTCCTCATTGTTATTATAAAGAAAACTGTATTCTGTTTTCATTATTAACTGATTACGTAACTATTTCAGTACATAAATTATTTCATACAAAACTAATAAATTTGAACTCATTTTAATAGAAATACTATTCATTGATTTTCGTATGACATGAATGAGCTTATATCGATCGAGATTAAATGGAGTTGGTGAGGTTGATTTTTTAATTACATTCATAACGATTTAAATTATATTTAATTTTGTGTGGGTGGAAAAAAATTAACTACATAGCTTAATAAGTAATTGAATTGAATTTAATTTAATTACAGTATTATATTAAATTGGGTGGGTGACATTAAACCGTATTTACACTGTTTCGGTGGAGCCTTCCTGTCAATTATAAAAATTTATATTTATAGATTTTATTTCTGATGAGAATGAAAGTTATGATGAAAAAAATACAAAAAAATCTTCATTCTTTAAATAATCATAACTGAAGATGAACATTAATGCAGTGCATTAAGATGCAATACATCGATTCTCGTGACAAGCGTAATTCAACGGGTGGTGGTGAGATTAAAAGTAATCAAGAATCCAGATTTCTTTTCTTATGCTTCTCAACTTAACTCATATTCCCACACGATCCTTCATCTCATATTTGTTTTAATTTTTCATGTTTTAGGCTTTACTTATTAGCAGCTTAATGAGTTAACGAGACTCACAACTTATTTAGTTAACTAGATATGGTTGTTTGGTAATAATTAAATTATATAAAAAATGACTTATTTGGTAAGGTTTTTAGGTGGGGTTATGCAGAAAGCTAAGTTTTTTTTTTCGCACCCCAAATGAGCCTTCCAAACAATTTTTTTATATAATTTAATTATATAAAAAATGACTTATCTGGTAAAAAATGAGCCTTCCAAACAATTTTTTTTTATCAATCAATAGAGACAATTATTCTTCACATATATCCATATATGACTTAATGAAAAATTAACCAAAAAACCCTTTGGACATGTTTTCCTAAATAAAATAAAAAACAAGTCCACAAATTTTATTTGTACAACTAGATTTGGAGTTACTATTCATCTTACAATGAAATTGAAAGTTTATGACAAGAGTGAGGACCATAAAAATGGATAATTGCATAATTTAAGCTACATGTAGATGAAGATTTTGTATTGTGTTAATCTAAAAAATTAATGGCAGTTACGTGAAAAAACAAAAGGCAAGAGATTTTATGAACATCAGAGACAAATTTAGACTAACAAACTTTATGGACAGTTTTTGTTAAAATCGACAAAATAACTGATAAGGTAATTTGTTAGCTAATAAACTAGTCATGTTTGGTAAAAATTGGTTGATAAGTTAGAGAACAATTAAAACGATATCTTAAAAAATAAATTGGAAAAATATAAGGAGCATAATTGTGAAAAAAAAACCCTTGGATCTTACTGAAACATTATCTAAAGTAACTTATGATTGAATTTCAAACCTTATACAGTTCTAGTTCACAAGATTGATGAAACCCTATCTTTTGGATGCTTAAAGCTCACTAGTATTTACCCGACAACGAGTACTATAAGAAGTCTTTGTGTGTAGATTTGGCTAAAGCAAGTAACATTCATTTTCAGATATCGTTATTACGTGAATTCAGAAGGATAAGCGATAAATTTATTAGTTGTTCAGGTCAATTTTCAATATACAAAAATCTAATGCGTGTCAGATTAAGCTATTGCACTAAAAGGTGAAGTAACCTTGGGGTTTGCTTGGCACATTAATTTTGCTTTTGAAATCTTTTACTTCGCACTTTAATATGCAAATGTGAAATTAGAGAGTTTAATGGAAGATAGAGTACAATCATCAATTTAGTGTACTTCACCAATTTGGCTTGGCTTGTGGACTTTTTCTAGCACCTCAACATGTGTCGATCCATTAATATATCGTTATAGTAGAACAAACCATTGTACTACGACAAGTACACGTTTTCTTACTTTAGCAAGAGCTTTTGTCATGTTTTTCGAGTCAGCTTACTGATTTGACCTTATTGAGAAAATCATATTTGGTAAATTATAAAGCGTAATGCTATATGCACCTCTTTTATATCATAACCAATTCAATTCATGTATTAGAAATGTAAAAAGTATGTCCTGATGTTGATGTATGTGAGAACGAAATTGGTAGATAGAGGTGCATTTATATATATATATATATATATATATATATATATATATATATATATATATATATATAAGAGTGTATTTAGCCATCCCATTATAAGCTAGCAAGAGCTTATACCATTGTCATAAGCTAGCTTTTTAAAAAGCTACTTCATATAGCTTTTACATTTTCTAGGCTAGCTTAAAGTTATTAACTAATATTTTAGAGGGTAATATGAAGGTTCCACATATTATTACAATAATAATTTGTTGGTCTCATTCATCAGATTTGTAAATAATACAACTAGGATCCAATTCAACACTTGGAAATAAATTCTTGATACTTGTCTTGTAATGTTCATATCCGATATACAACATTAATCGGATCTAACGCAAGAGGATTAACATCCGAAACCTTAGAAATTTATTAGGATCAAGGCTTCGGATCTTAGTCAATATCGGATCCATATCTTGGATGAAATGTGAGATCAGATCTTAGATCTGATTATTCTCCATTCGAATGGAAGAATCCCATTGACCTATCTCCACGTCACTCAATCTTGATTTTCAAGAACTTACATTTTATTCTAAATTATTTTAATCCGATGTTCTGATTTCATAATCAATCTATAGTTGGGTACTGATCTATAACTTATATTTCAGGATAAAAAAGATGTTTTTTCCTTTATAAAAGTCTTGTAACTATTTGTATTAATCCAAGAACAAAAAAACCTTTAATGAAATCGAAGACTAGTTGAAGTGAGATGAAGATCGTCACAAAAGTGGATTGGTTTGTCATCTAGCCTAAAGAAGATCAATACAAGAAAAGTCAAATAGTAGTTTGCTAAATACTACTACCAGCAAGCCGATTTTGGACTGCAAACTTGTCCAAAAAGTTTGGCTCACCAACACGGGTCCTTGTATGGGAACATGCTTAGCATGTCATCCAAAGCAAGTTCTAAAATATTAGTTTAATAGCCAGTATCATACTTCCTTTATTGTTCCCTCTGCATAGACAAGGATGAGTTGAGTTAACAAATGGTTACATCAACTTCAAAGACTGAAATGAAGAGTACAAACATGCATGGATCAACAAATCAAATAAATATATGCATTAAAGTTGGCAAACAACATTCAACGCAATGGTGGTTATAAAAGGTCATCATTGTCATACGATACAACTCAACCATTTTGAAAAAAACTTATGAGTGATAGTTTCTTCTGCAAAATCATCATCACTTTTTGGAGAACTATCTAAGTTCTTCAGATCTGAAAGAGTACCCTCATTTCTCACTCTTTCAGCTGGTGACAAACTATTAACAAATTTATCACCAGCCAGATTGTTAAGATTATATGTCTCACATTCCTAGCTTCCACAACAATCTGTAATTCTTTGTTTTAATAAAAAATATAGAATTAAACGTGAAAATTTTTGTGTTTGTATTCAA